AAAAAAAAAAAAACAGAAGAGGGTGTTCACTCCATTCCCATCTCTCCTTAAAAAACTAATTGTAGCTTTTTTCCACTAGGCTAAAAATATCACTTACATCTGTAATACTTTATTTTTCTCCCTATCCATTATTACTAGATAGACAGCAACATGTGCTGACTTCTTGTACAAAAAAGGCTACTCAAAATAACCTTGACTATGACGGCTTGTAATTACAAAGCAGCATTTTTAGTTTTCTTCCCCTTGGGTACACCTACAGTTTGTACAAGTGGTTGTTTTGAAAAGCTAAATAGAACAAAACAAAATTTTTACTAAATGGTCCATTCTTAACCTATTTAATTTGTACTAATAACCTTGTGCTAAAAGAAATGATGAGCAAAATGCTTTTTAAAATCCTTTGTCACTGATTAAAGATTGTGTTGCTTCTCTTTGGAAGGCTTCGTTACTATGAGTCTATTAAATATAGCTAAAATTTAAAAGTACAGGGTTGAAAAGCTGCCCTGGTGTTTATGTCCAAATAGAGAATATCTTTCCTGTGATTTTCACCAAAGGAATTTACAGTGCTTTTTTTCAAGTTTATCAGAGCCTTAAATATATACATTTTATCCATATTTGGGCATACTTTAATTTCTTCTTTTCTGTATAGCGGCTAGCTTTTCAAAAATAGTAATACTTTAAATACATTGTTCCAAAAATAGATTAAATGTTTTTATTTGATGATTTTTGCATTATAGATGCCTTTCTAGATTTATATGAAATCAAAGCATTTGTAAAGGATACAGGCTAACACTGATATTTCAGATTTATAAATTTAACTAAAAACTGGTAATGGGTAAAAACAAATGGAGACTATATATGATAAATAATTACCAATATAGACATTTTAAAGTTTATTTGCAGTTTCACAGTTTTCATGTATATTAAGAATCACAATAATGTAAAGCAAGTTGGCTCAGAAAATATGAAAGAGAATACTTGTTTTTAGTTTTCCATTTGTCAATCTAAATGCAGACTATACCTTGAATGTATTCCAAAATTTTGATACATATATCAGTATGGATGTGCACATTTCTACTATCGTATTTAAGCTTTCACTTATTAGAGACATTTTTTGCAGTCATGTAATTGATGATGATAAGCAAGGGATGTGCATCATGGCATTGCTTACTCATGTAAATTGTTAAAAATCAGATAAGTTAGATTCAATAGCAAACTGTATAGATAAGTTATATGTCAACACAATAGAATACTATACAATCACTAAGATGATATAGATTGAAATTTATTGTCATGAAAAGATGATTATGGTTCAGTTTAGAATTAAAAATACAGAGCAGTACATGTAGTATGGCTTTTTTGGTCAAAATGCTTGTGTATACATAGGAAAAAAGCTATGAAAAGATATTTACACATTGAAAATATTAATTGTTATTTCTGAACTGTGGAAACTTTACTTCCTTCTGCATTGTGTACATCTTTTACAATGAGCATGTGTTATATTTATAATCAATAAAAACAGTGATTTCCATTTTGAAAATATTTGAAAATGAATAAACCTGTAATTTATAGATAAATGAATACACAGAAACAACTTATTGTCATTATTTTATGGTAAAAGAGCTGACAAAAGTGTTAACAAAATTATATATTTACTTTGTACTGTGTATGAAAATGAAGATTTGTATATAAGGTAATAAAACTGACAGTAGAGACAAAACATATTCTAACAGTTGAATCTGTGGCATAAGTGAATCATATTATAAAAAGTAATTATTTAAATTTTACATAAATTAGGTATTTCTTCTTCCAAAAAGGACTTGAACCGGTATATATTTTTTAAAAGGTAATACAAAAAATAGAAAAATAAGAGTAGTATGAATGGAGGGCAGACAATGAGGAGAACAGGAAACTGCAAGTGAAATGCAGAGAATCTCTAATTTAGAAATTACAGGCTAAATAATGTAACTGCAACATTGAACAAAACTTTTTTTTTTAATTTTCAAGCAGTCAAGACATAAGAAGAACCATACTGATTTCACAGTTCTCATATAATGGCTGAAGGCATATGACTTAATCCAAGAGACAAGCTATTCCTTACCTTTGAAACATCTGTGAATATTATCAAAAGAATACATTCAAGAATTTACAAGAGATAAGTTTAATAGAAGGTGTCCTTCCAAGAAGTTTTCAGCATCATTCTGTGGAATATTTGCCTTTTATATTGACAGTTGATAAAAGCTGAAGGTAAAATATTAAATTATTTATAGGTAAAGGCAATTCAGTGCAGTTATTCATCTTTCTTGTTAATTTAACATGAACCAAGTACATGTACTAAAGAATTTAGAAAAATGAATAGTAGGAGTGGTACTGAAAGTATACTCAAATACCAAATCTCTCAGGAAAGGTTTTTAAGATGCAATTCATACTTTAAATAGCTACTGCCTAAAGTGTTAATTTTCTAAGTGACTAATTCAGAAAACACCAATATGCTTACTTCTTTGGGCAAGAAGTTAATATGACCACTCCGAACATTTAGTCAAAAGTACCATCAAGTCTGTATGTAGTATGCTCACAACATATTAAAAAATGAAACAAGAATCTAAATAAATAAATAAAAGAAATTTCACATTTCTTTAAAAAGCATTCATTTTGCATAATTTTAAGTGAAACTGTGCAGATGTTAATTGGATCACATACATTTTCCACTGCTCTACTGACTTCTAAAAAGTTAGAACTTTTCACTGTGATAGACTCAGAAGAAACATGTTGACAATATTTACATGAAAAAATTAAATTGAGTATTATTGAAATAAGAAGGGAAATATACTCAATCAATTGCGTCACCTGGACTGTTCAGGGAAAAAAAAAAGTGGAGGAATACACTTTATTCTACATATTTCTAAGGATATTACATCAAAAAAAAGTACAAAATGACAATTTTACAATTAGAAATTATGCTGTTTACTAAAATGGACAAAGTTTTCTAGTTTTGCATTTTTTTTTCAAAAGAAATAATTCACTTAAAAAAGCTGCTAATTAGCATAAAATAACTCCTTATCACAAAAGAGCCCAAACTAAGTAGGCACCAACTAAGGCTGAAACAAACTGATCATTCGTATTCTCAGCACCTGCGCCTGGCCTGGCCCAGGGTGACATGCAGGGGCTTGGACCCTACTATGCGACCATTCATCTCATCCACTGCTTTGGTGGCCTCTTCAAAAGAGGAAAAGCAGACGACACCAAATCCTTTGCCTTGCCCCACTTCCATCATGACTTTGGCCCGACTAATTGACCCAAAGGAAGAAAATTCCTCCTTCAGTTTTTCATCATTGATTGTCTCATCCAAGTTCTTAATATAGATAGGCACCCCTGGGGGCCGACTTTTTTCTTTTAACCTCAGTCGTTCAAATCTCCGCCTCAACTCAGCCAGGCGTTCAATTTTCTTCTGCGCTCGCCCTACATAGAGGACTTTTCCATCGATGGACTTTCCATGCAAGTCTAGCACAGCCTTTTGGGCAGCCTCGTGTGTCTCATATCTCACAAATCCAAAACCTTTGGATTTCCCACTGGCATCTCTTATTACTTTAACACTCTCAGTTGGCCCATATTCACAGAAAAGTTCCTTCAGTTTTTCATCATCTATGTCGTCTCCAATGTTTTTAACGAAAACATTGGTGAAAGTTGCTCTATCCCTGGTTCTGACCTCAGCCGCCCGCTCTTCTGGGAATTTGAATCTGCCAACATACACCTGGCGGTTGTTGAGCCGCACTCCATTCATGTGCCAGATGGCTCTATTGGCAGCGGCCAGGCTGTCAAAGTGCACGTAGGCATAACCCTTAGAGCCGTTGTCATCGCATACGACTTTGCAGGACAGAATGTTCCCAAAAGCAGAAAATAAGTAAAACAGGGCCCTATTGTCTATGGATTTGTCCAGGTTTTTGATGAATATATTTCCCACTCCAGACTTTCTTAAGCGGTCATCTGGCTGAGACCACATAAGGCGGAATGGCTTTCCATTAATCAAATCAAAATTCATGGTGTTCAAGGCCCACTCTGCATCCGCGGGAAAGCGGAAGTTAACATAACCATAGCCCAGGGGGCTGCGGGTCACCGGATCACGGCAGATTCGGGTGAATCGCAGAGGGCCAGCAGGCCTGAACTTCTTATAGAGCATGTCCTCGGTGACATCTGGGTCCAAGTCACCCACGTACAGAGCTGCCTTGAGATACTTCTTTTTCTTGCCAGCAGGATTAGGCTCCCCGCTCCCCATCTCTCTGAGCACTGGGAGGAGGTTCTCTTTGGAGAGAAAAAAAAGGCTGCTTTCTCTAAGCTATGGGCCAAACAGCTGTTCACGAACAGAAAAAGCCAAGGCAGGCAAAAGGAAGCTAAAAGCAGACTCAGAATCACTGTCGAGGCTGAGAAAATGAAGTTCAGAAACAGCTGGTCAGCAGGCTCGGAACAAACACATCAGACAAAAAGGCGCCCCAAATACGAATCTATTCTCCCTGGGGGGACTTAAAATTGTCACCCTTTCAGATTTAAAATCAGTTTCAAAAGCCAGTACTAGAAACGGAATTTTCCTGTCCCCGTGAAATTGCAAGAAACCACCAAGCAGCTGGCTGGTTCCCCACAACTAGCATTGCAGACAGAGGCCTCCCAACCCGTTTTCAGCATAAATACAGGCCTAAAGCTCCTGTTGGTTTAAAATGATATCAACAAGGGCAGGAACCGAGCGCGTATTCCTCCGCCGGCTGCCTGGCCAGTCTCGGGCTGGCTTGCCTTTCACTAAGGCCGCTCCGCACTCAGCGTCTGCGAAAGGGTACACTAGACACTTGGTGCGGTAAGAGCGGCAGGCAGGCTGCAGGCAGCGGATAGGACACAGAGACAGACAGACAGACACACGCGCGGGGGATCGAAGACCGCCCAGATACCCAAGATGCCCACTGGGTACGGACCGAGTGAGGCGCGGTGATTTCGGCAGCCTGAGGCTCGAGGCAGGTCCGGAGAGACTGACTGGCAAACGCGCAGTGAGTGGGTCAGCTCTGACGCGAGGCGGGTCTGGACAGATGCGGGGCGGAGTCAGCGAAGAAGGGCAGATGCGCGGCGGGCGGTCCCAGCGCAGACGGATGGGCTGGGGTTTCTCACCGCAGGACAGTCCAACGTTGGGACCAAAAGCCAGTAGCAGTGATAGGGAGCGGGGACGGGCGGGGCGCAAGAAACCCGGAACCGTGCTAAGTAACTTCCCGCTTGCTCTGTGCCAAGATTAAAAAAAAAGAAAGAGAGCGAGCGAGAGAGACAGAGAGACAGAGAGAGAGAGAGAAAGACACACAGAGAGAGAGGAGACGGAAGAAAAAGAAAAATCTAAGATGGGTTTTAGATGTTTCTTATATTTTAAATGTTATTTATTATTTAAAATACTATACGTAAGCTGATCATCTAAAAATCACATAAGAAGATGACGACCAGAGCAAAAATAACTCATAAATTTTAAAAAACAAATTCTCAAAATAATTTTAGCTTAGGGAAAAGGATAGGTTGCATACTTTCCTGAGTGCACTGGAAAGTCAAAGTTTGCGACTGTACTGGCCTCTCAATCCAGTGCTAAAGGATCACAGGGTCAAGTAGAATACAGGGCCACGTTGCCTTTGGCCCTTAGCCTTACTTAATTAATCTCCAACATAATGGTAATATTTTCCCCAGGTGATAAGGAAAGAGATCTTTTCTCTGATCCCATAATACTGAGGTTTTAATGATTAGACAGCCGTATAATGGCTTTTGATGGTGTTTAGTGCCACAAAGCATTGAAACTGTTGAGCTGCCCCCAGAATTACAGTGACAAAATATCAGTAAAAGAGATAATAACCACAGAATCAATACAAAATATATAACTAATATTTATAGATGGAATAAACATGTTAAGATATATGCACTTTCCACAATTACTATTTTCACCATAAGTTGACAACTTGAAACCACTGAAGGATACAGTGCCATCAGACTGGACTCAACTCAGTGGTTTTTTAACAATATCTTTCTTCAGAGTATTTGAGAAATCCTTTCGGAGAGAAACTTTGACCGTCTTTTCAGAAATTCACCAATATCTAGCATACACAACACTTCAAGGAGTTCTTTCCACAACTCCTACCGCACCAGAAAAATCTGACTCCTCTTAGTCTGGAAAAGATCCTGGAAAAAAAAAGAGTGCAAGAGAAGGACAATACCTTACTGTGTGTTTTCCTAATAAGTTCTCAGAATAACAGGCTAAATTAATGTACTGATTCACTTTATACATTTTGCAGTGTCTATTAGGCTGTAGAGTTGAATAAAGACCTTAACCCTCATTATTTACTCAGACACTTAGGGATTTTCTTTCCTATTTTTTCTTGCTTCATTTCTAGTGTTTTTGGTTAGGTAAGACATGGAGATTTTGAGAAAAGGCAAATATGAACAACAATATTATAAACTAATAAACTGGTTTTACCATACGATCAGAGGGACCAACATGCGGGAATACTTGTGAACATTGCTTACTTTATTGCATTTTGAACGTATTTTTATAAACATATTTTCTTATATACATAATTAACAATGGGTTAGAACTCTAGTTTATTTAATACTTTTCTCGTTTTAAAAATTGCCTTATTGAAAATGCTACAGGAAAATAACAATATAAATCCAGTTCCCACCATCTCATCATTGATCCAAATCAATATTTTCATCTGTTCATGTAATCATCTAAACGTTGTCCATATTCAAATTTATTTGCACATATTTTCTCTAAAATTATAGTTAGAAATGATTTGTTAAAATACACATTTTCAAAATAATTGCTTCTCAACACTTACCACTTCCATTCAACATAGTAGTGGAAATTTTAGGCAGAGCAATTAGGCAAGAGAAAGAAACAAAAGGCATCAAAATCAGAAAGAAGAAAAGTAAAACATCTTTGTTTGCAGCTGACATAATCTTATCTATAGAAAACTCGAAAGTGTAACATTTTTTAAATCTCCATACTATCCAAACTGATTAATACAATCCCTATCAAAAACCCAATGGCATTTTTTTTTTACAGAAATAGAAAAAACAACCCAAAATTCATGTGGAGCCACAAAAAACCCTGAATAACCAAAGCAATCTGAGAAAGAAGAAGAAAGCTGGAGACACCATTCTTCCTGATTTCAAAACGTATTACAAAGCTACAGTAATTAAAACACTGTTGGACTGTCATAAAAACAGACATATAGGCCAATGAGGCAGAATAGAGAGCCCAGAAATAAACCCACACATGGGCAGTTAACTGGTCTTTGACAAAGGTGCCCACAAAACACAATGAAGAAAGGATTATCTCTTTCACAAATGGTGTGAAAAATTTGGATATACATAAAATTGGACCCTTATCTTACATTTTACACAAAAATCAACTCAAAATACAGACTTTCCACCTAAGATCCGAAACTATAAAATTTTAGAAGAAAACAGGGTGAGAGCTTCATGACATTGATCTTACCAATGACTTCTTGTATATAGCATCAAAACACAAACAAACAAAAATAAAAGAATTTAGAAAAGTGAGACTACATAAAATTAAAAATCTTCTGCATATTAAAATAAACAATCCACAGAGTGTAAAGGCAACTTCCATAAGGGGAGAAAATTTTTGTAAAACAAATATCCAGTAAGAGTTTAATGTCCCCAAAATAAAAGGACCTTTTACAACTTAATAGCAAAAACAAACAAACAAACAAAAACTTGAATAGTAATCTTTCAAAAGAAGAAATATAAATGGCTAATGAGGAAATGAAAATATGCCCAACATCATAATCATCATTGAAATGCAAATCAAACCCTTAATGAGATGTCACCTCACATCTGTTGAGATGGCTATTATAACAAATCAAAACATAACAAATGTTGGCAAGGATGTGGAAGAACTGGAATCCATCACTGTTGGTGGGAATGGAAAGTGGTGCAACTGCTATGGTAAACAGTATGGAGGTTCTTCAAAAACTTATGTAGAAAGTCCATATAAACCAGCAATCCTACTAGGATTGCTAAATCCTTACAAGTTCACATGTAACCCTACTCCTGCAAATTGCCAACACATGCTCTCTATCATGCCCCACACACAACTAACTGAGTTAATATGTATCCAAGTTTATGTATATCCAAATTGGATAGTAATCACATATATTAGGTATATATCCAAAGTAATTGAAATCAGAATCTCAGAGATATTTGCATTCCTATGTTAGTTACAACATTATTTACGGTAGCATTGTTTACAGTATTATTTAAAGCACTATTTCCATCTTGGAAACAACATGAATGTCCACTGATGATTGAAATGGATTTAAAAAAAAGTGTAGTATATACATACAATGGAATATTATTCAGCCTTTTGCAACATGTGGCAACAGGAATGGACCAAGCCAATCACAGAAGGACAAATAGTGTATGATTCCATGTCAATGATGTATTTAGAATAAATAGATGCATAGAAACATATTAGAGCGGTGGTTGGGAGTGATTACTGGAGGGGGACCCGGAAATCCAGTGGATATAAAGTTTTAGTTACACAAGATGAGTAAATTCTAGAGATCTGCTTTAAAACATTGTGCATATATTTAACAATACCGTATCATGCTCTTAAAAAGTTGGTTAGAAGGGTTGATCTCATGTTAAGTGTTCTTACTAGAATTAAAAAAATAATTCAACTTTGAAGAAATCTGGGTATTAAAAACATATAATAATATAACAAGTTTAAATATATTTTAGTTTGTCATCTCTTCAGGGTGATTTTTTATTTTAAAATATTTACTTGACAAAGATGGGATATATTGAAGATGTACAATGTGATGATTTGATACATGTATAGGGTGCCCTTTTAATCAAATCCTATTAGTTTAAAATGAATACTTAGAATAGTACATGTGAATTTATGCAATTACTATGTATTCAGAATCCAGTCTATTCAGAGTTTTATATATAATCAAGCTATTTTCTGTTATGATACATTGAAATAAGGTAGGCGAGTATCGCCTACTTAGCAGATAGTATCAGACAAATTTGTTTCCTTGCTAGTGCTTGTTAACTGAACATATGTCTCATACAGGAAAAATACATATTCACCACATTCTCTGATTAAAAATCTTGATTCGTAGTCATTTCCCTTGACCTAGAAGAAGAAATATAAGAAAAACAATTTTTTAAAACGGGAACATTATGCTTTATTTTAAATTTCAAAATTGTTGTAAAATACATGTAACAAAATTTACCATCTTAAAAATTTTTAAGTGTTTAAGCAGTATTAGAAACATTCACATTGTTGTGCAACCATCATCACTTTCTAGCTCTAGAGCTCTTTTTATCTTGTTAAACGGAAACTCTATACCCATTAACCTATGCTTTTAGATGACACTTAAAATACGTTAAACTGTTTCTCTATTGTTGGACATTAAAGTTGCTTTCAGTTATTTTAGTATTATAACAAACGATGGTATAATAAACATCCACATTCACGTAATTCGATATATTATTGGTTCTATTTCTATTAACCAGATTGTAAGAAGTGGGGATTGTACAATTAAATGGTATATATATATATATATATATATATATATATATATAAAATTAAATGTTACTATGTACTGTTAAATTTGTTTCACATATGCTGTAGAAATTTACCTATTTTGTCAAAAACATGAAAAACTGAGGACCTGACCAATTTCTTAAAAAAAGAGAAATTACCAAATTTGATTCAAAGGCAAAAAGAACCATGGTCATAGAAAAGATTGCAGAATGATCACACATATGCTATTAAAAAAAAACAAACAGGTGCAGGTGATTTTATAGTTGAATACTGTTATATAACCTTTAAGAAAACATAAGGCCGGGCATGGTGGCTTACTTCTGTCATCCCAGCACTTCGTGAGGCCAAGGCAGGAGAATTGCTTCAGCCCAGGAGTCCAAGAGCAGGGTGTTCAACCTGGAAAGATTCCCAGCTAATTAAACAATTAGTTGAGTGTGGTGGCAGGCACCTGTGTTTGCAGCTACTCAGTGCTGTGAGAGGATCGCTTGAGCCCAGGAAGCGGAGGCTGCAGCAAGCCATGTTCATGCCACTACACTCCAGCCTAGGCAACAGAGTAATACTATCTCAAAAAAGGAAAGAAAATACACGTAGAGCCAATGAC